TTAAGGCCCCTGATAGATATTCATTTGAAGTTTCAATTGGATCTGGTCTGTGAACCGGACAGTTGTGCCTCCTACCATGGCACATGTGCATGGCAGAAGGTGCAATAGTGGGATTGGCCCAGGATCATGACCTTGCGCTCCCCCTGTACCAGCAGGTTAGGTGCCTGACAGTCAGCTGACTGCCTCCTATCATTACACCTTACAAATTTGTTTGAATATACTTTATCTTTACACATGATCTTAAGTACAAAATTACCTTTAACCGTACTTTTAATTGGCTGGGTTTGGAAGAGTATATTGAGTACTGTAGAGTATACTGAGCAGTTCAAACAGATTTAAAGATTGATTGGTAAAGACTAATTTACATTCTTACCACATCTTTTTTCAGCTTCATCTGAACTGTCTGGGCAGTCTGGTACTCCATCACAAAATAAGTCTTTTTTTATGCAGGTCATGGTTTCAGCGCAAGGTTCATCAGGAGGGAAACAGTTCACTGAAATAAAAATAATGAAACACAAGGAGACAGAAAAATGACATTATAAGCAAGGAAAGAGTTACCTATTGAAGTCGAAAACAAATCTTATTATAAATATTTGTCCATTAGTTCGAGTTGAATGCTCAAATCATAGCATCTGTTTGTTATATTTTTACAGGTTTTAAGTTGGTGGTTTTCAGTGTTTTTAGATTCAAGGCACCTCTCATTAGACTCAAAAAACTCCTTGGAAAATACCAGATGTTAGCTTTCATTCATTTTTGATGACAGAAAAATAATAGAGCAATTCTCTGTCTCAAAATTGCTTAGAAAGAACATGACAGGTCAGAATGTTTTTGACATTATGGATTCCTATTTGAAATGTCTGGGCTTATCTTGTGACTCGTGTAGGCGTTTGTACACTAAACAGTGCTAAGTTGCATAGAAACTTGTAGCACCCTTAAAAGTATCTCACAGTACCCCAAGGTGCCACAGCACCCTGACTGAGAATCACTTCTAGAGTTCTAGAAGTTAATTGCTTATAAATGTATACACACCAGAAAGATAATGATCAATCCAATTTGAATAAGTTCAGAAAAACAAGCTTTATTAATTTGGAACTAAGAATTATGCCCACAAAAGTATACAAGTGCTTCATATACACGTCAGAACGTATTCCTTGTTGCCAAGAGTGTGCATGCATTTTATATTACACACTGAAAAACCTGTTTTACTCCATATCAGAGGAGTGCCACCATCTCTGGGCTACAGCCATGCCCTCCCTTTCTTGCTGTCCTTCCAGTCCAATAAAATTGCATTCTTTGATGCTCTGATCCTATAGGAAAAGTGAAGAGTGAACCCACAAAGACTTTGCTATAGGTTTATAGTTAGGCCAGCCTCCCAGTAAGTGGGAGAGGTGGGTTTGAACCCTTTCAATCTGAGCACAGCTAGAACCTAGATCTTTCACTTTCTGGGCGAGTACTCCAGCCACTGGGAAGTTAACTGAAAATGTGGACCTCCCTGCAAGCAGAAGTCAAATAGACACCTAACCTCTGGCAAGCCTGCATCAAAAGATGACAGAGGCACCCTATATCTAGTCCTCAGTTAGGCATCTAAGCTCTGTAGGGAGAGACAGAAGTTTAAATACACTAGAGTGCCTAGTGTTTCCTATTGGCCAGGTCTATCTGTAACTCAGTGGCTCTCAACCTTTTTAGACTCAAGGAATCCCTCGTTAGCAGCTCTTACCTTTCACTCATTTTTTGTTGATGAAAAAATGATAGGTCATCTTGATCTAAGCACTCTTTGTCACCACTGAAGGGTGATCCACTCTCCCCATTGACTCTAAAGGAAGGCTAGGACCCTAACCATATGTATTTGGCTCATCTTCCTAAGTAACACCACCTATTTCTTAAGCATTGCAATACCCAAATGGAAGTGCCTACAAGGCTGATATTCATCTGTCTCAACTCTTATTGGAATCACTTGATCTGCTTTGGGAATAAGACTCTTCATTAACTCTATGGAACTGGATCTATGCTCAGAATAAAAGGCCAGTAGAATATTTCAAAGCTTCAAAGATGAGAATATTTTATATTGTTTTAAAAGGCTTTCATCCCTCAGAGCATACCTTATGGGTTATGTGGATCAAAATAAAGCATTCTGCAAGAAAAGCCTTTGATTTGAGTCATATGGAAATTCAATTTCTTCACCTTCAATCATTTAATTAAAAATTGTAATTTTTCAGAGTAAAGAATTTTCATATTTTGGACTTGCCCTATAAGGGAGCAAAACCCATGTGGGACAGGCCTTGGAAATGTTAGAAGACACAGAGAAAAAGCTTTTTGTAAAATGTTCTGCTCAGTTTTACAAACTAAGGCTTAGATATCCATCCAGCAGACACCTGTGGGTAGAAACACATGCTTGTATGAAACCCAGTAGCAGAGCTTCCCATAGACATAGATGTCCATCCAGTTGTAGGTTCAGGGCCCAGGAATCCTGTTCTGTCCCCATTAAGTTTTTATGAGTTTCAATAATGGAATAGGACTAGGCCTGAAGATTGGTAGCTAGAACTCTTGGAAATTCAATCCATTAACTAGTATGTAGATTGGAGGCTATTTCCCCCTATATTTGTCTTGCTTAGTGATAGTATTGGCAAGTTTATCTCCTATTTAGCACTCAGATAGTAGTCTATACACATTGTTTTTAATAACAGTTTATTTTATGCGAAATGGGAAGGTTGGCTTGGACACTGACAATGCTCTATGGGACTACAGCTTTCTCTTGGTTGGCTACCAGGGATAAGCTCTGCAACCTTACACACAATGTAAAACAAAACACATGAACTCCTGCACCATGGTATTGATGTCTTGCTGCTGTCATGTCTAAACATAATTTACTTCAAACACACAGAAGAACACAAACACAAAACTACACCACATACATGCACTTATTGTGCAAATAACGTGGAATAACCATGTGTTCACAAAGAACATTTTCAACTCCATGTGTTTTGTTAACTCAGAAAACTAAACTGCAGTGCCATCTGCTGGGGACAAAAACATTTACACTTTCTATTAATTGTTCTATTTTAAAGGATTCTTTAAATAAGAGTGGAGTTTGAATAACTAATGGATAAAATTATATAGTCCCAGACACATCTGGAAGTGTGTCTGCATTTTTCACTCTTTTCACCAATTAATGAATCTGTGAGAGATTTTCAAATAGCAGGTAGGTGCCTAATTTCCACTGAAAACTAGTGGGAGCTAACTCTTACTTGTGCTTTTCAAAATCTCTCATATAGTCCATGATTAGCAAAAATGGATACTGTGTATGCTATGTGATCCTGCAAACTGTGCTTGGGCCTCCCAATTTAGTTAAAGAGACTTTGAGAGTTAAGAACAACCCCATAATGTATACAACTAAACAGATACCAAAGTCTTCCATGCAAAATGGAAATCACAGTAACACACAAGCTACTACTAACCTGAAGTTGTTAAGGATTTGCTGGTAGTGACTTCTGCTGAAACTGCATAAACAAACCAAATGGCTTTAAGGTTAAAATATTTCAGAAGCACAGCCCCCTTTTCACAAAAACCTTCTGTTTTAGAGACCCTCTTTCCATTAGAGAATTGTTGTTCCTCCCTTGGATCCTGTATATGCAATTTGTTTTATTGGATGGATTTGAAAAGTGCTGCCATTTCACAAGCCACACAATTTTTACTGTTTTTAAAATCCAAGCTGTATGTGCCAGGTTATTATATGAGAATGCCAGCTTCACTCTTTAAACTAAATTTTTGGCAAATGTGGTTGGACAGAAAAGGTTGAAAAAGTTCACTCTAAAAGGTCAAAATCCAGAATAAATACAACTCCCTCCCCTCCTCCCCCAAAACAAACAAATGCTGGTTTTAGATCTTATGATTTGTGTAACTTTAGCCAGATAACCAGGTTCTTCTATTAACACACTTATCTTGTTTTCTCATGATCAGCGAGAGTTCTGACCTGAAGTTGTTGGAAGGGCCATTGTAGTGAACACAGGATCTGCTAAAACAAGACAAGTAGACAACCTTAGGTTCAGTCTTCATAACTGTATATCTTGCAGAATAGATTTACATGATGGATTAGTAAAGCTCAAAACAGTCTGAAAATTTGAAAACTTGGCTGTGTAGTCAAATCACAACACTACCACATTCCTAATAATAGCTTATTTTCTTCCAGTTATTCATGACATTCCAGAGATTCCCAGGGCCCATGAATTAGGGCTGTGCAAAGCTTCAGATCATGATTCAGATTCAAAGATGATTCAGAGGCCAAATCTATGACTCCAAATCGAATCACGGGAAGCTTTAGGCTTTTCAAATCGATTCAGAGATTCGGACCTAGAGTATAATGGGGAAGTCAATGGAATATGTATAACTTTGTTGTCTTTTTACTGATTCAGATGAAACATGCAGGGATGGTGGCATGTATCATGCTCTCAGCAGAGGATAAGTTTCAAGGTCATAGGTACAGGGATTTCTGGGAAACTGCATCCCAAACTTCTGAAAGCAAAACTCATGTCACATGTGTATGTTAAGCCACAGCATGGTAAAAACTGCAGGGATGGCAGTTCCTTCTGAGGCCACAAAGCTTACCAAGTTTCAAGGAGGTAGGTGCAGGGGTTTGGGGGAAACTGCACCTTAAGCTGAGGACAAGCAAAACTCATGACATGGGTGACACTGTGTGTGTTAAGGAGCAGCAGGGTGAAAGCTGCAGGGATGGTAGCCCCTGCTGAGGCCACAAAGCCTGCCAGCTGTCAAAGAGATAGGTACAGGGCTTCTGGGTTCTGGGGCCCTGCACTTCTAGCTGCTGACAGCAAAACTTTTGTCATAGGTGCTTGTGCAACTGTGTCTGTCTTGGGGCATGGACACAGTTGTGGGGGAAGGGTGAGGAGAGAAGTACTGCAGGCCTGGCTGCTAAGCTACTGTGTTACCAATCAATCATGATTCACTCAGAGACCAGCTCAAACACAGTAGCTAGCTAGTAGCTACTAGATAATGAGTTAATGAGTGAGGATTAACACCTACAAAGCCACAGACTAAGGAGAAGAAATAAATCAATACAGACAATCAACTGCTCCAAGACAGAAACAGTCAGTTGCACAAGCACCCATGTCATGAGTTTTGCCTATCAGCAGCTAGAGGTGCAGGGCCCCAGAACCCAGAAGCCCCACACCTACCTCCATGACTGCTGGCAGGCTTTGTGGCCACAGCAGAGCTTAGCAGCCAGGCCTGCAATGGTTTCCACCCCCCATACCCCAAGACAGACACAGTTGCACAAGCACCCATGTCATGAGTTTTGCCTATCAGCAGCTAGAGGTGCAGGGCCCCAGAACCCAGAAGCCCCACACCTACCTCCATGACTGCTGGCAGGCTTTGTGGCCACAAAAGGGACAAGCAGGCCTGCAGCTTTCACCTTACTGTGCCTTAACACACACAAGGTCATCTATGTCATGAGTTTTACCTGTCAGCAGCTTGAGGTGCATTTTCCCCCAAACCACTGCACCTATCTCCTTGAAACTTGGCAGGCTTCATGCTCTCAGCAGAGGCTACCATCATCCAAATTGGATAAAAAACAACAGAGTTATAGATATTTCATTGATTCCCCATTTTACCCTATGGCCAAATCTCTGAACTAGAGCCGATTCAGCTGAATCAAAGCAGAAAACGGATTTGGAGCTCTGAATTGAATCACTGGCATCCAAACCTGAATCAAATAGTTCCCTGTTTGCACAGGCCTACCATAAATCATCATCTTCCTCTCCTTACTGCCAGGTTATTGTACATGTGCACTATTGCCATGTATCATGAATTGCTGCCAATGAGTCCTTAAGTATGTACATGAGATAGCAGTAATCTCCAGCTAGGAAACAGCAACTGTTATGATGTAGATTCTCCTTTAGCTCTAGAGAGAGAGACTTGATTGAGACCTCAGGGCTGTCTTTCTTTAAAGATCAAGTGTATACCATCTATTATAATTTCTACATCATATGTAGCAGTCAGTCATTCAAAAGAACAATCCTCGCTGCCTGCAATCTCCTGCAGAGTCAGGCTACTCTGATGACTCTAGACCACAAACATTTATTTCAGTCTCTGTATCTGACCCTCCCAGCTCATCACTGAATTTCTCTGATTCAACAGCTATGCCAGTATCCCTATGTTAAAGTAAATCTAAGTGTCCCTAACTCCATCAAGTTTCTACTGGAGATAGAATTCAGCAAAGCTAAATTCAGCAAAGCTATTAAGTTAACCAGTTCTCAAAATAAAAAGGCCTCCGTCTTAAAAACAAAAACAAAACAAGAACTGTAACCTCAATTTTCCAAAAGGTTAATTTGGGT